TTGCCAAAGAAATTACTGAGTTAGAAAAAAAATATAATCCTCAAGTTCTTCAAGAACAAACTGATTTAGAAAATAAGGTTGACACTGCAGTTACTGCTTTAAAAGATGATCTTAGAATTGTTAACACAGGAGGTCGTAAATTTTTAGAATTTATAATTGAAAATGGTAAAAATTTTTCAGAATTAAATTATAAATCTGATGTTCCAGCTACCACCAAACATTATGGTTCCATTATCAAAACTGGTTATAATGGGAATAATAAACCTTATACTCATCCACTTTATTTGAGTACTGATTTTGTAGGGCAAATTTGAACTATTCTCAAAGATATTGATAAAGATAAACTTTTTGAATATATTGATTCTTCAGATTGTGCTTGGGATGCTGGTGATAAGAAAAAATTTAAAGGTGCTTTTGAGAGAGTTATAAACTGAAATGCTAAAATTTCAAATGAACGTGATAAAGATTTAATGAGCTATCTTTATTCTAATACAAAAAGAAAGAAGAATATAAGTAAAGGAGAGTTCAAAGAGAGAAGAAGGTATATTAGTGATATTTTTTATGTCATGCATGCTCTCTTTCCCAAAGATAGCAACTATCAAAATAGTCCTTTCATACAAAAAGGTCAAAAGAGTTGTTTACCTTTTAAGAATGGCTATAGTTTAGATAATTCTTATACAATGTATTGACGAGGAGCTGATGCAAGTATTATTGGAAAGAAATATGTTGATAATAGCACAAATGTGTTGAAAGCTCCTTTTGATGTTGAAGAAAAACACTTAACTTGGGCTAATGGTCAAATTCCCAAATTCTTTTGACAAGTTTATAATAGTGATGAAGCCGTTGAATTTAATGCTTATGATGAGGTAATTAGTAAAGATGGGATTATGGATGAAAGAATTAGAGAGGAAGAAATAACCATTTATGAGAAGAAATTAACTTGTTCATCATCAATTTTTAACCGTCATATTGCAAAAAAAAACTATACTTTGTATGTCGAGAAATTTATCAGTAATTTATTGGATGCGACTGGGAAAGAATTATTTGAAGAGGAAGAGGTTAACAAGCTTTGTCTCGAATGAAATAAAATTAGCCAAAAGATAGCGAAAAAGGCTATGGATACTCTTGTAAAATTTAGAGAGGAAGCGAAAGGTTTAAGTTTTGATGAATTAAAAGTTAGAAGTAATGGACTTAATCCTTATCAAGCCAAATGATTAATTAGAGAAGTCAAGAATAAAGAAATTGATAATGAAATGATAGATGTGTGAAATGAATGAAAAACTATTACCGCTGATAAACGAGTAGGTTTAGAAAGTATTCATGCAGAATTAGGAAAAAAAAGGAGTGAATTAACTAAAATTAGTCTTCAAAAAACTGATAAAAAACAAAAACTAATCCAAATCCAAAATCAAATTAAGGCTTTTAAAACTAATCAAATTAATCACTTATGAACTCAACTTAAAAATTTAAGAGATAAATTAACTAATTCTAGTGATGAAAATATTATCACTTATCAAGAAACAATTGCGATTAGAACTTTGTTTTACTTCTTAACTGATTTAGAAAATGAAGGCAAACTAGAAACTCCCCTTACAACTACTGAAAGAGGATATCTCACTAAAGTGGAACAGTTAGAAGCTATTCGAAATGCTAAACTTCCTACTTATAGCACTTGACAAGGTTTAGGTACTAGTTTTTGAGAAAGACTAAATAATTGAGAAAAAAAAGAAGGAAGAAATCTAACCTCAAAAAGCATTACAATTTATTTTAATTTACTAAAAAGCGAGTTAGATAATGCTCAACAAACCATTGGTCTTAGTCCAGAAGAAGAAGCAGAATTATTGGCGATTACTAATTACTTAACTAATCCAGAATTAAGAAGTGAAAATCTTCGTTCAGTTTTCAAGATTGATGCGGATATTACTACTTCTTTAGTTCAAGAATGAAAAAATTATGGGGATAAAAAACTTTTTAAAAAAGACGAGTTAGAACTAAAAAAGATTGCTGATATTCTGCTCAATTTAGAAGATAAAACTACTTTTTTCAATGAACTGAAAGAATATCTTAAAGATAAGCAAGGAGTGCCAACCTTCCCTGCTGACACCACCAATGACTATCAAAAAACAGATTATTTCTTTACTTTGCTTCCCCACTATGTAATTGGATTTTCAGTTACTTACCAAATTAAGTATGATAGTGTTAAGAAAAAAGAAATTGAAACTGCAATGAAAATTGCTAAAAATGAGCAAAAACTAGGCTTAGACTTAACTAAATATGGAAATGGTCAAGAATTTACCGAAGAAGGAATCATTAGATATTATGCGGAAGAATTAGGGGGAGTAAATCATCGCTTTGCTCAGCAAAAAAAAGAAACTGGTGTTCCTAAACCAGATTTCTGAAGAATCAATAATCCTTCTGCTTGAGCTGCAGGAGGAGCATTGTTCTTTCTTTTAGCTAGTTTAGGTTGAGCCATCTGAAAAAGAAAACTCCTTGCTCAATGATGAAACTCCTCAGCTGAACTAGAAGAAGAGGATGATGAAAATGATGATTAATAATGATTTGATTGTTTATTCTGCCAGTCTTCTTTTCTTTCTTGGTTCATCATGAGCTGATGTTAAGGTTCGTTTATTGCTTATTATTTTTCTTTCTTCATGGTAAATTTCATAGGTAATCCTTTCTTTTTTTAGATAAGCTTCCAGTGTCTGAGTATCATTTATTTTGAAAATGTAAGGAGCAATTTTTTCACCTTGTTCTTTTTTTAGAATACTTCTAATAGTGCTATAATTTTTGGGTTCCATAACAGATAGGATGTAAATGAGTTTCATATTAACTATTTTTGTCTAGACAAATATCATGATCACATTACATGGTGATACAATCGTGATGTTAAAAAATAATATTGATCCCTGAAATTCTTGGTAATACCAATGTTCACTTTGTCTGGTTTTGTTGCAGCATGCCCCATATATATTCCTTATTACAATATAATAAATTAATCATCTTACATTTTTCTAATCAACTCATGAGTTGAAAATACTTCTTCTCTTTGATCTCTTGATAAACATGATAGATCAATGTTAAAACTTTCATTTGCGTAATTTGACTCAACAAGCTTCTGTAATTGTGCAGGAAAAGCTGAAAATATTGAAATCACACTAAATTCTCCCCAAATTTGGCATTTCTCGAGTTTATTATATAGATTCCAATTATTCTCCTTTATATCTTGAAGGTCAATTATACCCGAGAATAAAGGATCATCTGGTTGTAATATTATGTTGTGAAGATTTTGGCCAATTGTTGATAAAATTTCATTATCACTGCTTTGCCACTATTTTATGATAAATAAATGTGTTAAAATTTTTTAATTTACTGAAATAAATATATAATTGTAAAAATATATATAATTGTAGTTACTTGTCTTAATTTTTCATATGCAGTTGTTGTAGAGATGTTGCTAATGGGTCAATATCATGCCTATACATGCAGCCCAAATTGGTTTGGTGATTTTGATGGTCAAAATTATTCCAATTTTGATGGTAGAAAGTAGAAATTAATTATGGCATTCACTATTAAAAACATAAGTGTAACACCCCTTTACTACATGTGTAACCCCCTTTATGACAGTGTCAAAATACTTTGGGCTACATGTATAATCATGCCATCCAAATTGTTTTATCAATTCGATAATTCTAAATGATAATACATGACTTTTTGTAAAGTCATCATTGATTTTGTTCATCAAATTTATTAGCAGTTCAGTAGCAATTGTTACCTTCTGAGAAAAAGAAACAAAAAAAATATAAGCATAACATTAAAAAATCATTTTTAATTAAATATCTAAAGTCTGAAGTCTCTTATATGATAATTATCATCTTGCAATTTCATCAAAAAAATAAAAATATTTAAATACTTTCCTCAGCAATTGGTTCTTCATACTTTTTGTTTTCATACTTCATCCTGAGGTATAGAAAAGCCTTTGAAAACTCTCTCTTCAAGCTCTCATAGTTAAGGTAATCAATAATACCATAAAATAAATTGTAAATAAAATATTCATAGTAACTGAAGGTTCTTTTTTTATAAATAAAATAACTTTCGTATTTTTGATGTGCTTTTGAATCATGTTTGAAAAAAACTATCACTCAAATCATCATTCAAATTATCACTAAATATTACAAAGACATAAAATTTTATTAATAAAAATAAATTACAAATTAAATCAATCTTCTTATTTGTTATCATTATCATATTCATTACCCTGCGTTAGTTCTTTCCCTCAAACAATAATAATGATTATTTTCTTTATTGTTTGTGCTTTCCCTTAAATTAAAATTACAAGTTAACTAGAGTAATGACGAGTGGCAGGCGATAACCACCACCACCATCCTTAAAACACTTACCCTTTTTCTTCACTAAGAGCAGTTTCTTTTCTTCTTTTTCTTCTATCTTGTTTGGAGTTGTTCATTTTAATAAAATAAAATAAAAAGAAGTTTGTTATTTGATTGACATGTACACATTAATTATTTATCTCATTGGTTTTTTTTTTTGGTAGGACAGATGCGAATTGATGATTTTTTTTTTTTGGAAAAACAATTTATTTTTTGACAAAGCCCAAGATGACAAAATGTGAGTGTTGTTCTTTGGTTTGGTTTGGTTTAGCTTGGGTCTCTTAAAGAATATGTGTTAATAACTAACCAGAGGTACTACTTTTTGTTTGTATTGATATGTATGAGGTGTCTTTTATTTTAGCTTATAAATATTTTAATTGGAATCAAAATGTGGAGCAGATCTTGCTGGGTAATTACAAGATTTTCATTGATAATATTTTGCTTTGCATAATTGTTAATAATATTAATATTACTATATAATTACAAGAAGATGTCAAGGCAATACACCATTGAATATGAAACATTTTGAATATGCAATGTTTGATTATCGGAAATTGGCAGGTGTTGAAACACGCATGCTACCTTGAATACTTTACAGTCATTCTCTCATCTTCCTTGTGCACACAAGGCTAATCTGACTTGATCCCCCGATGATACAATGATGCTACCAAATTCCAGAGGGTGGGTAGCAATGCCCTGGAGTTTACCAAGACTGCATCAATCATCAATAATGCTTTTCACTAATCTTTCCTCACAACACCCAGACCAGAGATGGCTGCCATGTTAGACAAAAAGTTGCCTGCAACAATCCTACCTCTGGGGTAAGGATGGCTCTGTGACCAAGTCGCAACTTTGTTGATGAATTGTAGTGCCATGTAAATATCCAGATCCATCAAAGCAACGAGAATCTGCAGCTCGTTTCAAGCACAGGAGGTCACAATCCAGAGCAGGGTTGATGGCCCAGAAATTGCATTTGGGCTCTGATGTTAAGAGGAAAGTTGTAAAATAGTGTTTTTTTGTATAATCATTTTCCTAAATTCTCTGTTTCACTGATTCTAACCAATTTAATAATCTCAATGTTATGAAGGTGGAAAAGGTTTTCAATATTTAGATCTTAAAGCTATTTTGGGAATTTATTTTAAGAAACTAAATGGTTTACAAAAGTATCAACATTTTCTTTTTGAAGCATCTAATTTTGGTACAGTGAAAGTTCAAGAAGTTGCTAATGGACCTTTTGTTG